GCCCGTCGTTGCTTCCTTTTTCGCCGATTCGAAAACTAATTGAGACTGGGATTAATGAAGGCGATTCGCCGGCATTAATTGAAATATCGCGAGCGAGCGGGCGGGCGGCGGCGGCCTGCCGGCCGAACCCCCGCCGAGGGCCGGCTTCTCGCCATTCATCAGCGGCGTTTCTACAATTGTCGACGGTAATTGGCGCTAATCCGTGACGGGGCCGATCGCCGGCGCCCGGGGCGCTGTGGGCCGCTCCGTGGTAGGAGGCGCCGCTAGGAGGTGGCTCGGACTAGTGGTGTCAATCGGTTACCAAAATTTCGGTATACCGATACCGAACCAATACCGATTCGGTATTCGGTATTATATACCAAAAGCATTTGGTATTTTGTCGGTATCATGAAAATCAACTACTGTCTTAAAATATTTGAAAGCATTTTTGATAAACCTTCTGAACTCAAATTTGATTTTGCTAAATGACACTGGATGAAGAAAAATGGCAATCATGACACATTTCTCCCAAATGCATGATGTCCTAACAAATGGGCAAACACATCAGCTGTAATATCAAATACATCAGTCTACCAATGTTAAATGGCAACTTATCAGTGTTAGCAAATTCCAATACCATGAGGATAATTATCCTACAAAGAAAGCCAATGTGCAAGACATAAACATGAATTAATGTTTAACTCACTGTATGCTGGAAAACATACTTAAACTGCCTTTCTCAAAATTTTCCAAAGCATTTATTAGCAACAAATTTGAATTTGTTTTGAGGAGTCTGTGATTGATCTTGACCTTGTCTTCCTCTCCATTTTACTGCAATGCAATTACATTATCCAAAACCCTGTTTAATACAGCACTAGCTTCACCATTATCATCTAATATTTAAGGCAGCATTTGTCACTTCATCATCACCCGTATCACCCCACAGATCTTCAACTTCGCTCAACTTCAAAAAGCCTTGTAGTGAGCGATGCTGTCATGATCCTGTGGATAATTTATTTTCTTCAATTAGTGTTCTCTTTCCTGCTCTCTCAACATATACAGATCACTTGCAATTTTATCATAAGCACTCATAAAATATAATTGGCTTTTGGCTTGACTCGCACACAGCAGTTTCAACACTGAACACATCTAAAAACATTTCATTGTCGCAGCTGCGCCAGGTTGAGGAACCGATATAGCTCAATAATTAATTGAAAATAATTGAACAACTATGTTTTTCTGGTACTTCATTTTTCAGCAAAAGCGGCTTACAACTTTCTTGAATTAATTTTAAGATATCAAAATTTATACAAGGAATTTTCATTAAAGTGGACTTAAGCAAAAAAGAAAAGAAAAACTTTATTTTATGCAGTTTAATCATTAATGCAAATGGCCGCCGCCTGTTAGGCCGCCATTATGGAAGAGATGACACGTGACGTGTGTCAATGCTTCCGTAAAATTATGGACATTTTACTTAGATTTCATCGCGATATCATTACAGTGGTGTCTGCTATCTATCAGTGTGCCTCGTAAGTAATTATTTATCCAGTTTTGTTGTGTTACACATTTGTTTATGAAGAAAAATTGGCTGCGTCAGTATTGTGACATCGTCACCAATCACCATGCTACTTGGGTTTAACTGTAGGTATCATGGCCTTTGTTTACATTAATGGTGTAGCCAGCCCAAGGTGTAGCCCATCATTGTCAAAAGGGTCACCACTTTTGGATCATGATAACACACTTAACCCTGTCTTGACCGGACTCGAAATGAATGACTTGAATTGAAAGAAGGTTTGATGGTTCAGGCATGGACAAGATTCAGGGTTCAAGTTATTTTCCTAACACCTCATGCAGTTGACTTGAATCCACATTCCAGTAAAATAACTGACCTGAATTTTTGTTAATAGGTACAAAATAAGTTATAAATGTTTTTTTTTTTTTTGCAATGCAAATAATTAAAGAGATTGCCTGATTTGTTTTTGTTACCTTATTTCAAAGTATGAGATGCCTTTCAAGGCTTATCATATGTCTTGAGAAAGTTTGAAGCATTTGTTTGATAATTCCCTGATTTCGGTATCTAGTCGGTATTTCCCCCTATTTCTGAAAATCGGTTCGGTTTTGGTATACTCTCAGTGGTTTTGGTCGGTATCGGTTTGGTATTGGTTTCCAAAATTTCTGAAATTGACATCACTAGCTCGGACCGTGGCCTGGCCTGGCTGCGATATGGCCTGTCGGTCGCCGCCGGTGGAGGAGGTTGAGCACGCGCGCAGGTCAGAGGTCACCTCCACCTGACGTGCCGCATGCTGCACTGTCGGTGAAGGTGGTGGAAAGATTTATATGGAATCACTGGCTGGATGGGGAGGGATAGCAAGATTGGATAGCTAAGTGAAGCTCGGCGAAGTTTTTTTTTGTGTAAATGGAGACGACTAGATAAATGCCTTATGTAGTTTTGAAGATAAGCACGAATAAAACGATGAAAATTAAAGTATATGTGGGTCTTTCTTTCCTTTTCAAAATACTATTTTACGTAGTTGTAGCAGCAAGTTTTGTGGAACGTTCTGGCTTGCAATAGAAACAAGGAACAATCTATTGTGCCTTTTTACTGCTAACCGCTATCATGCTTAGCGGTTACCATTAATTAGGGGGGCATATTATTTTCCTTTGAGAATGTTATTTATTTGCTTTACGGAACTCTCTCATCCCCACAAAGGATTAATTCTGGCTGCATATCCCGTGCTCTGTATTTGAACCATCATGCGAACATTTGAATTGCATTTCCGGTCCGGTGTGCTTAACATATTCGCGTTCCAACCCATTCCGCGGGTCGCTGCGTGGCATCAGCAGCGAGCAGAAGTTGTTTTCCTCAGCCGGGCGCCTATGGTCGTCTCTGTCGGGAACTATATGCTCCGACCGGCGCGCCGCCAGTGCCGTATCGAGGCTCATCACCGCGATGTGTTCCTTCGCCGCGCCGCCGCCGCCGCCGCTCAAATATTAACGGTGCCATTTGGGTGTGGCGGCCGTTGCGGTTCCGTCGGGGCCGATGCTCCGTCTGATACGGTGCGTCGCCGTCGATGAAATGTACCGTCGAGCTTCGCTTCCCTCCCCCTTTAGCGTCGCTTCCCCCATCGCCAGTGCCCTGCTGAGGCCGTGGGGTACAGGGAATGTGACGGTTGGAAGGGAAGGGGAAGGGTATGCAGATGGAATGTTGGTCAAGCTGATTGAAGTATTAGGTAAGCGAAGGTAAACAAGGGACTATGGCGCACGGAATTTGAAAAAAGACTATCGGTGAGATCTAATGTAATATAATCCATCATTCGTTTCGTCGTATAGAGAGATAGAATTGATAATACGGTTGAACTCCTTGCGTTAGTTATATCTAGAATCGGACATGAAAGCAGTAAAATAAAGAGGATTTGCTCTAGTGCAACATCATTTAAAGGCGTGTTTTTATGTTGAAAAAGTGTCAAGGTTTTGGTTATTTTGCTTTTTTGGTCAATATTTTCAGATCAGTCGGCAGTTATAAGTTATTGGCCAATCACACGAAGCCGGAATCCAACAGATACAGTGTGTCACATTATCCTGACACATGGATCAGGTTTCACGCCAACACTAAGTCGCTATCCCAGGCTAATGACAAAGCATTGTATGAGAAGCGGCGGACGAGGCTGTGACACTGGAACGCTCTCTTCGACTTAGTTCATCCATCTTGGACTGGATCCAGCTGGTTCTCCACCCTAGTGTTGGACGGTGTTCTGTTCATTTGAATTTATGTTATTCGTACTTCGTATCGGGACTTCGAGTTGAGCGCTGCGGTATGGAACATGAGTCTTGTCTTTGAACAGGAATGTTTGACTGTATGTCTGTCTAACCGTCCGTTTGTATGTCTGTCTGTCTGTCTTACTGCCTGTCGGACTGACTGTATATTTGCCTATCTCATCGATACATATGCCTTGTATGTAATTATATAAAAATGCATGTCTATATCTCTGTCTGTCTATATGTCTGACGCTGTTCTCTGTCGCGGTGCTTTTGTGGTCCATCGGTCGGTCGCTCGGTTAGGACCGTCGCTCTGATATCACGATGGCGGCGACGGCGGACCACTGTCTCCGTCTGGCAGCCGGCGGCCTTGGCGCGGTCTGATTTATCTCATCGGGCCAAATTGGCGCCGGTCCGGCGAGATTGACGGCTGTCGTCTGTCGTCGGATGACGCGTCGTTGCCGACGGTTATTGGCCGACGGCGACGCCGTGGCCCCGGCTCGGTCATGGTCTGGTCTGGTCTGGTCTGGTCTGGTCTGGTCTGGTTTGGTTTGGCAGCTGTCCGCCGCCATGGCCTGGGCCTGACCGGCTTGGTCATGGTCTGGTCTGGTCCGGTCTGGTTTGGCCGACGGCGTCATTGTCTCGTCTGGTTTAGTTTGTTTTGGTTTGGCAGCTGTTAGCCGCCATGGCCCCGGCCCGGTCTAACTCCGTCATGATCTGGTCTGGGCAGGTCTGGTTTGGCAGCTCTCCGCCGCCATGGCCTGGGCCTGACCGGCTTGGTCATGGTCTGGTCTGGTCTGGTCTGGTTTGGTTCGGTTCGGTTCCCGGTGTCATGGTCTGGTTTGGTCTGGTTTGCCGTCGGCGCCGCCGTGGCCCGGTCTGACCGGTCGGGTCGTGGTCTGACTTGCTCTGGTCTAGTTTGGCAACTGCTCGCCACCATGGCTCCGGCCGGTCTGCCCAGCTCGGTCTTGGTCTGGCCTGGTATGGTTTGGTTTGGCTGCGGATGTCATGGCTTAGTTTGGTTTGGTTTGGTTCCCGGCGTCATAGTCTGGTTTGGTTTGGTTTGGTTTGGCATCTCCTCTCCGTCAAACGGATGCTGAGAGAGCCGCTTGGTTAAACCGTGAGTGGCGTCAAAGTGAAGTGGGGAGGGGTTAGGCCCAGGGGGGTTCATCGCCATAGGGACACACGTACAAGGAAATTGCTACCAAATGCTGCCAATGTGACGTAACTGGGATGCTCGAAAGCTGATTGGTCGCTGAGATTCGAGTAATGTAGTCAATTCTGGCGCACCGGCGCAGTGTTTTCCGACCGTTGCGTGTTATTACTTTGGTTGCTATGCAAAGTTTTAATATGTTTGTTTGATAATATAAACACATTTTCATGTGTTTGAAGGTCGCAAAAGCTTAACATAAGTGGCAACCACACTTTGTATTACGTTTCGTCTCATATATCATGAAGAACAACCAAGTATTTCAAGGTGGGAACATGCTGAGGAACCTCAACCAAGGTATTCATTTTGCAACGGATCTTAACATAATCTGGCGTTTTTTAAAGTTTCCATTTTTGCAATTAAGCTGGTAGGTAATAATTTTTCAGTGCTCGCAGTGCGCATAAGTACCTTGACCTAACATGATACACTCAACAAATAAAATGTTTAGAGAAAGCACGTAATGTAAACAAACTAGTGTTACAATGGCAAATTGAAATATAAATGAGCTCTTTACTTTTTATCATTAAAATTTAAATTGTATACTCGTATAGTATGGTCACATACTGCGGGCTGGGTTCATCTCAGTCTCGTTGCAATGTTATCAGAGCTGTAAAAATGAAAACAAATGTTTTTGCATTGTATTATTGTTTATTTTCAAATTGGTCACTAAAGTTATTTCATGGGTAGGTGCTTACTGCTTAATCTTATTCAAATTTATTTATTAGTTGCTTGTACTGTCAGCATGATGTTAGCCAAATTTGTTTGTGCTGAGAGTTTTCTGTTTACAGGAAAGCTGAGGCGAGGGCGAGTAGGTCCCTGAGGAGGACCACTGCAAAGGAGGTCAAGGAGATTATGGGGGCAACCTGCGAGCAACCTCTAGACCAGCCAGCAGGGACCTCTGACAAGTAGGTAAGTCTAATGGTTTATGTTTTCACTCACATTAAAAGTGCTCACAAATATCCATCAGTGTTACAAATCCTGGCCCGTCTTGAGCGACACCATTTTAATTCCCATTGGTAAAATGCATCAAAACATTCTTTTTGCCATGAGTAATGGTAACTTTTTGTCGGCATAAGGCCGCCACTCAATCCAATAAGGTGATGTCTCAAGTCACATCCACTAAATGTTCTGCTAATGACGTATGCTGGTCCTAACTAGTGCTTAGAAAAAACTGAGTTGTTTCAGTCTTGGTTGATGTTTGAACAATTTTATACGCAGTGTTTTTTTCCTTCTGAAAAAGTGCCATGCTAATCACGAGCGAATTCGTGGGGCAGTCGCCAAACGAGGCTTAATAGTAACGGGAAAATGGATTAATGCAAAGCCAAGGGGCATGCATTTTTCGTTGTCCGCGAAATCTGTCACTTTCAGTGCGTAGACTAGGCTCATTTAAGTGTTAACGTTTTTCTTTTGTTGCACAATACATATTTAATTGTCAATGTCTTTCAAGTGATGTAGCGTAATACTGCTTTCACAGTGCCGCTGCCGGTGTCGACGCTGGCAGCCATGGCCGGCGCCGAGCTGACGAGTTCCAACCTGGAAGCTCAGCGCGAGGGGCTGGCATTTGTTGCCGGCTTCGTGGCATACAAGTGTCACCACGCCGCTGGAGACACTGAACACCCTGCCGAACAGCTGAATTGTGACGATCAGCCGAGGCCAGCTGTTTGTTCTGTCACAAGCCTGGATGGCCGCTGTGGAGGAGTTCGAGCGGAACTTCTGCCTGCTGATGGGGGCAAATGCAGATCAGGGGCCGCGAGTCATATAGCGTCTCAAGCTTTTCATCGCCGTCAAGCAGCCTCAGCTCGGCACCCGCGTGTCCAGGAAGTTGGCGAGCACCCGTCTCCATCTCCCCCTTCGGTCCCTTAGCCTGACTGGACGAGGTCCGGCAGCTGAAAAGAGCCGATAGAAAAGTTGGCCATCATGCAAGGAGCTCTAGGTGAGCTGGTAAACCGGCTCGTGTAGCGACTACGAGTCGGCGTGGTGCTGTGTGACTCGGTGTGGTGCGGCCAGTGGCGCGGGAACCGGGGGGGCTAGGGGGGGCTGAGCTCCCCCAGCTTTTCGGCTGGGGGGGCTCGTAATGTATTTGAGCCCCCCCAGCTGGAGGAATCGAAATCGGAAATCTACCAACATAATTTCAAGATTCATACATAGGCGTGGGAACCGGGGGAGGGGGCAGTGGGGGAAGCTTGCCCCCACAACTCTGCGGCCGTGGGGGTGGTGCCCCACAACGTTTCATGAGGCCAGGAACCGTCGGGCAGCTTGTCCTCCCCAAATTAGGGGTTGTGGGTCACAAAGGAAGAAAGCATGTAAGTGAAAAATCCACCTATTTCACTGGCTGGGCAACTCATTTGGCAGATTAAACCCTTTACTCCAGGTTGCCAAAACGGTAGTTTCTTCACTCGGCTGAGACGGAATACCTCACTTTTTGAAAATATTTTCGTTTTTTTTTTTGTTGTTGAAAAGGCCAAGGTCTGAAAAATAAGTGGCCTAAAACCGGTGAGAAAACTAGATTTGGGGGTACCCTAGGTTGATTTCTATTATGGTTCAGCCCCCCCAGTCTGGAAGAAGTTCCCGCGCCACTGGGTGCGGCCGGCTCTGTGTGGGTGCTGTGCGACTCGGCATGGTGCCTCCGGCTGTGTGTACCGGCTGTGCGACTCGGTGTGGTACGGCCGGCTCTGTGTGGGTGCTGTGCGACTCGGCAATTGGTGCCTCCGGCTGTGTGTAACGGCTGTGCGACTCGGTGTGGTACGGCCAGATCTGTTGGTGCTGTGCAACTCAGCGTGGTGCCTCCGGCTGTGTGTAACGGCTGTGCGACTCGGTGTGGCACGGCCAGATCTGTTGGTGGCTGGTGCTGTGCAACTCGGCGTGGTGCCTCCGGCTGTGTGTAACGGCTGTGCGACTCGGTGTGGCACGGCCAGATCTGTTGGTGCTGTGTGACTCGGCATGGTGCCTCCGGATACCCCACTTGGTGAGATTGGGCCCCGGGCCCAATCTCACCAAGTGGGGTAAACTGAATTTGGGGTAAAATACCAAACTACCCCACTCCATAACTACAAAAATACTACCCCGAAATTAGTTAAACTAGCTTGGTGAGGTTGGGCACTTGGCCCAATCTCACCAAGTTATGTAACATTAATTTTGGGACAGTATTTTTGTAGTTACGGAGTGGGGTAGTTTGGTATTTTACCCCAAATTCAGTTTACCGCACTTGGTGAGATTGGGCCGGCTGTGTGTAACGGCTGTGCGACTCACTGTGCGACTCGGCATTGGGTAACGGCTGTGCGTCTCGATATTGTACCACCAGCTGTGAGTAACGGCCACCCTTAAGTGAAACTTATAATATTTAGTGAAAATGTTTATTCGATTTTTCTCAGCAATGCAACTTAAGTGCATCCGTCCTGAGCGCCCTAGCAGGGCAGCGGAGCCGATGTAATTTCGGTGACTACTGACTCCTGACTTCTAGTTCCAAAAACTAATTCCGACTCAGGGCTGCGGAGTCGGAGTCGGAGTCAGAGTCGGTCGGAGTCGACAGTTGTGACCGGATTCGGAGTCGGAGTCGATTTTAGAAACCCGAGCCGGAGTCGGAGTCGGAGTCACCGAAAATCTGTCGCCCCGCAGCCCTGCTAGGTCTGCGGAGTCGGAGTCGGGAGTTGGAGTCGGTCGGAGTCGACTATTCTGCCCGGAGTCGGAGTCGGAGTCGCAGCTGGTTTTTGAAAGCCGGAGTCGGAGTCGGAGTCACCGAAAATACATCGACTCCGCAGCCCTGCGACTCCTACTCCGGGCAGAACTGTCTATTCTGACCGATTCCGACTCAGACTCCGGGCAGCCCTGCAGCTCCGCAGTCTGCGGAACCGATGAATTTTTGGTGACTTCGACTCTGACTCCGGCTCCGGCTTCCAAAAACGACTCCGACTCCGATTCCGGCTCCAGTTCGACTCCGATCAAAGTCCGGTCCCGACTCCATAACCCTGCGCCCTGGGACCCATACAAGCCTCGCTGGTTTCGGCCCGCTTTTCCTGGACGTGACCATATATCACTATTACTCACTTTAAAATGCGACATATTTTCAATTTCTAGTGCGAAAAGTGCTCGCGATAGCTTTTTGGGCGTTATAACACGAAAAAAATGCCACCGGAAAGTTCGTAGCAATGCTCTATACATAGGCCGGCCGCGGCGGGAGCACCCCAGTGACGTCATCCGGGGCCGGTAGGGGGAACGTAAAAAATTCCCTAATGAACCTACCTGGTATATAGGGCCTTGGTTAGGCCCAACCTTTGATGGCGACGTAGGAAAGACCTCAGCCAACCAAGGCACCTAGAAATACGGTGGATGTAGGTATAGTGTATACCAGTGATTGCATTATGTTCAGATTTACTCAGGCTTACTGCATTATAAATAACATGTATGTAGGGATTTTAACCGACTCGGAAATGTTTTTCTCACAATATCAGGCATAGTGTGATGTTATTAAATTTAAACGACTTCATAAAGTCAGTTAATGTTTGTGTGCTGACGTCTATCGCCTACCAGTTTATGATGTGGGCGAAGCTCTCAGCGCTCTCGAGCTGGAATAAGCCGTGAAAGCTGTATATAATGCATATTTATTTGCTGGCGGTTTAACAATAACCTATTTGTATTGCCTGAACTACTACATGAAAACGCCTTTTCCTTCCGCTGCTGATGTTCCGCCTGCACCTCTGACGAATTTAATGTCTTCATTATGAGAATTTATTACCCCGTCTGCACATTTCTGGTTTTCCTTAACTGCGACCTGCGTTATGGACGTACCTTCTTGGCCCTTCGATATCCGTGTCTACCCCGAACGCTGCGCGTCTCGAGAGCCCCGACCGGCTCCCTGTGACCGGTCAGATCGATACAGAACAGTCGCGCTCCTCGGCAGGGTAGAGTGACGGAGAGGGGCAGAGGGGGAAGTCGGAGATACTGGGACTCACCTCTTGGCAGAGAGATAGAGAGAGGATGAGGGGGAGTCAGAGATACTCGGGAGTTCCGCGATCCGACTCCGACCCTCTCCTCCCCAGGGTGAAAATTTACGGACGAAAAGTTAAATGGTGAACCGATTAACCGAACATCTGCTACTTTGACCAAACTTTGCTCCCTTGGGGCAGAAGCTAACTGATAAAATGGCGAATTTAGATCCGATTAACTGATTTTTCTTCCAGATCAGGAACTACGCCGCAGGGTCGTCACTTTGCAATGGAAACATTAACCACGAGACAAGAAATATTCACAAACGTATGAAAACAGTTCTTTGAAATGTATTTCAGTGAAATGCTCTGGTCAATTTCATAACCCATAAAATCAACTGGCTGGCTCGAAGCTGAATACCGGAAGTGAATGTGTCGCTCAAAAGCCAACCAGGCACCTCGTGAATTTTGCCTAAATAGGTCGGTCGGAAGTAGTTGGCGTTCCTTGAACTGTGGATAGCTACACCACCACCAATAGAAATCCACCTTCTGCTCAGGTGGTTCTGGGACTGCGGACTCTCAGAGGCGGCGGGATAACTGGCCGTCGTCCAGTTGCCCCACCCCAGCCGCTGGCGTTAGCCGCTCCACAGCTGCGGCTGGCGTTAGCCACTCTGGCTGACCCGTCAGACTGTGTCACATATCGGCTAGACGGGCCGCGCGACATGCCGATGTTGGACTGGCTGACCCGTCAGACCGTGTCACACATATCGGTTGGGCGGGCCGCGCGACATGCCAATGTTGGACTGGCGGTGACTGGCCGCGGCAGCTGTGGCTGGCCGCGGCAGCTGTGACAGCTGTGACAGCTGCCACGGCTCGGTGGCGGGCGCCGCTGTGCGTTATAGAGCGCACACTGCCGGTGGCGGCGACCGGCCGTCTTTGTCCGCCTGTCAGGAAGTTCAGTGGGTCGGTTTGACTGGCGGTGGTTTGGTCTCATGGTAACGATGGAGCCGAGTTTGATTGGCGGTCACTAATGATGCTGTGATTAAGACGGGTGCGTGTCGCTAATGAGCCGTAATTGGCAGCTTTTTGGTGACGACTAGCTATTAATGTTATGTGAATGTCGTGGGTGCGTGTGTTGAATAACCTGTGCGCGCCCTCCGGAAAGGGATAAAAATATGGGAAGTCATACATTCTACCTACAAATTAATCCATATTTCGAATTTAATTTAAACCCAACCGCAAATGTATTCTGTCATTGCAGGCATTCTCGCCTGTCATTGGCGCTGAGTGCATTAGTGTCGCCTCATGATGTTTCCATCTCTCTTTGAGCATAGTTCCGTTCTGTCTGCGTACATCGTTTGTGGAGGTGCGCGGCGGCCTTAAATTATACCGGTTTAATACATACCCCGCCCGAGCATCACCATCCATTACGGGGATTATTTATTGCGCTGCACGATACGGCCGGCGCGGCTAACTGAGGCGGCGATGGGGCCCACACGACCGCTTCGTAGCGCGCGCGGCCGGCGGTGCGAATCACGGTAACGCGAGGAATCCCGCCGCGCCGCCGCCGCACCTGCCGGTGACGCCCGCCGATGACGCCCGGCCCGGCCCGACGACACGTCACGTTACTTAACGTTACGCGGCGCCATGCAGCTTTGAGCAGCCGGA